AAACCCTATAAACCCTTACCCCTAAATCCTAAGCGCTGAACCGTCTAAACCCGTACGCACTTGCCTTGACTCCATGCAAAGGCCGAGGCATTCGCTCAGGCTCGAAACCTTGACGAAGCACCATACCCCACGCCCCACACCCCATCCTGACGCTGCCACCGAACTAATAAAAGCAGCAAAGACCGAACCACAAGGCGTAAGGCTTAGTAACACCCCCTTGGGTAAATGTTCGGCTACAACTTTCCTAAGTGCGGACGGTTCGCCGGTCCTGTCCGGTCCACCAGTTTCTGCACCAGATCGGTCAAGGCCCCGATTTTGTGATCGATCTCCTGCGACCGAACTCTTCGAACACTTAGGCTTTACGGTTTAGGGTCTAGGNNAGGGTTTATAGGGTTTAGGACAAAACAGGACTCACCGTAGCGCCTGCTGCGCCTGCTTCAGCTCCTCGCACTTCTCCTGTATCAGCCCCGACAACAAACACAAACAAGAATCAAACGATGCGGAGAACTTTCTCCACGATGCCTGTCCATCTCCCTCACTCGACCTAGCGGGTGACTTCGCGTGGACTCCCAAAAGCTTAGCATGGCACCGCTCACATCCAGCCTCAAGCAGGTCTTGAGGATTAGGGACCCTAGTCTTCAGCTCTTCGCACTGGACGGGGCATCCCTTTGGTTCTCCCTCTTCATAGCTAGCGCGGACTCACAAAACTCTTAGCGTCTCCGTATCCCACGATCAAAGCCGATAAGGACAGCGACAAGTATGCAGGGTCTAGTCATTTTAAGCCCCAAGGTCCATGAGCCCCGAACTTCCCGAAGCCGCGCGACACCCCAAAAAAAACGGTACAAATCTGCACCCTGAACGTTCCCTCCTCACTCCACGTTGAGGCATCCTCTCGAACCCCTGAGGGTCCTCAAAAGCCCAAAGAGAGAGGCTGCTCAGATGAACCTAAAAAAAAACCGAAAACCCGAAATCCCATGGAATGCATGGGCGAGACTCAACGATTCCTCGTGTTTCTTCTCGAGTCTTTCAACAATGCGCGCCTGCAAAGAAGCGGGTCAGGAAGCAAAAACACGTCTGATGTTGGCTCAAAGTATAGCACAACCGACATCCTCCCTGCAATCCAGCAAGCAGCCCCGCCACGAGTAGGACCTGAACTCCTGGCCACCTTGCCACGCACGAAGCTGGAGATGTGACGAAACAGCCAGCGCCCAACAAGATGTGATGAATGCACGTGACACCTGATAACCGGATAGAACCCACCCGCAAGGCCGCAAACGAAAACGTTTTATGTTCCAGCCTCTTGCTTCTTCATCTGCTCCTGCACAGGGAAATGGGGGCAAGGAGAAGCTTCTGGAAACCAGAGAAGAGACCTGCTTCCCGATTGCTGGCCATGAGCCACGCAAGTTCGGCTTCTTCAACACAAATAGTGTATTGTCGTTATCAAGCATACATCGGAAATGGAGGATCATGTTGGTCTATACTATATACTCAAGTCCAGCACGAATACCCGGCCCTTGCGGTCCTGCATGTCGGTCTTCAGGGCGGTGCGCACGCTTCGAACCTCGTCCACTGGTGCCTCCTTGCGGCACAGCAGCCAGATCCTGCACTCCCCGGCCTTCGTTCCCTGGTATCCAAATAGCCCCAAGGTCGTGGAAACGGCGAACCTCAGGCCCTGGAAGCGAAAGACGAAGCCAAGCAAGGCGTAGATCAGCAGAAAGCAGGTGGACAAAGCAACAAAGATAGGTGCACAGAGCACCAGGAGGGTGCATCCACCCCGGTAACTTAGTACCTCTTCGGTAAAGGGCCTGAACCGCTCTTTTCCCAGGATCGGGTAGAGCGGCATAAAGCACACGAAGATGATCGGAAGCAAGATGCACGTAGCGCAGCCTGACACCGGCGGGTCGACGCCAACCTGTATGGTCAGTCATATGTTGAAGAAACATTGAAAGCATGCAAAAAAAAAACGAGCACTCTTGCCCCCCGAGGGGTAGCCTTTGTGGGTGACCTCATTCCCTAGGATCAGAAGGTACCTGGACCTGGGGTATCCTGGATTTTCCTCTTTGCTTCCTCCCGGCCTGTCTGCGGGACGGATGTGCCAGCGAGAGAAGAGAAAGAAGCCGCCGCCAGGGCCGCTTGCGCAGCTCCAGCAGAAACTTAGCTCGTGCCCGGTGGAACAAAATCTCACTCCGATCCTGGTAGAGCTCGAAATTCTGTCCGAGCACGCCAACCAGTAAGTTCATCAGCAAGATCGTGACACCAAATCCGGTCATGTAGAAGAGCACGTGTGCCGACACATAAGCCGGCCCGGGCTCCGGGTCCACTGGTTGACAGTGCTGCGTGCCAGAGTTGCAGTGAAGAGCGGGGCTCATTCCCTCAAACTCAAACATATCAAAGTCCCCAAAGATTCCAAGCCTTAACACCTGCATGACGGCTGCGTAGGCAGGCGAGGGCTCATTTCGCAGCTCAAGATTATAGTAGCCATGTGACGCTCCAGCCACACACATGCCCGTGACCAAGAAGAAGGCCGCAGTGTCCTTCAAGGCTGCCAGGATCGGGAGCAGCCGAGGGCCCATCCAAGCTTCCCCCCGAAGGCTGTACGTTATGCGCAGCCACGCCAGGCCGCACCAGACCGACATGTATGGCTTCTCGAGCTGCTGCCCTCCCAGCGCAAACTGTCGACTGAACGCGAGCCAGCCGACCCCCAAGTAGGTCAGGTCCGCGATGTTGCCGAAGTCCAGGGCCATGCTCCTATACCGGCAAATGCTCTCAAGGTTCTGCGCAAGCTCCTCGGGTTGAAAGCTGCTGGGCGCTGTTGAATGTATGACCGAACATCAAAACCTGGCTCCACACAAAAATCTCTCTCTCTTCTCTCTCTCTCTCACTCTCGCTCTCTGCTTTGGTTTGTTTTATTGTTATTTTTCTGTTTCTCTCTCTCTCTCTCTCTCTATGTCTCTCATCTCCTCGATGCTCGTCTTCGCATGCAAGACCGCCGCAGCGCACAGGCACTCCACAGACCTGAGAAAGGATACCGTCTGCCAGTTCAAACTTGCACTGATGGCTACGTGGATTCTACACAGATATGTCTTCGTAAAATGTGCTTGGAGGCAGGATGTTAGAGGTAGCCACTGGGTGCAGTAAGATGTGTGCCATGATGCTATCGGCTGTGACAAGATCCACACAGTGGTTACAGTGTTCAAACACTAGAGAAGATCTTGCAGCGTAAGCCCCGCACAGGGGCTGTGCATTTCGATGCGCGTAGGATGTATAGATGAGGAATGCCAGTGTCAAGAAGCCAAGGCCGATATCCAGCGCGGTCGTTCCACGCATCTGCTGCCACGCGACTGAGATCATGGCTGCGACTGCTTCTGTCTGTAAGGCATCATCGTTGGTAGCGAACGCAACGCTGCTCAAGAAGTCTGACTTGCAGGCATCTGCGCCATACAGACCTGGCAACACCTTCAAGCAGGCCTGTACTTCGGCTGCTGGGAGCAAGTTCTGAACCAAGAGGTCAATGTCACGCGTATCCACCACCATGCGCGTATCCTCAGAGCACAGCAGGGACTCAGACCACACGAGAGCGCACCGGAATCTCCCCATCATCACCTCTAGAACTGTTCTCTCCACGCCTACCAACTCCCACAGCCTTTGTGATGCTTTTGGTGGTGGTGATGCTGGTGGTGGTGCTGGTGCTGACGGGCTTCAAGACTTCCATTAAGAATCCTAGCCTATCCCTCGACCCCGCCCCCTTTGCCATGCAACACTCTCCACCAGAGGCGTCAAGTA